TATATATATATACATATATATATATATATACATATGTATATATATATACATATGTATATATTTAGTTACACACATTGCTAAGAACTTATTTTAAATAGATTCAAATGTGATTTTCCTCATTATTTAGACTTTTTTAAACCTTCAGATTCCTCAAACAATTGTATCTGCCAAATACCATTAGTAGAAATTATTGTTTCAGCTTTTATAAAATGTAAAAATCTCAATTTCTAAAGAATTTTTTTTTTTTTTTTTGTGGTTTAGTGTTACATTTTGCCTTAGAAGTAAAAAAAAAATGTAATCAACTCATACTGATAATTATTATCCTTTAATTAAAAGACAGTTAAACATTGAAGACATTTGCATACTAAACTCACAGATTTGAAAACATTTTAGTAGAAAAAAAAACATCGGTTTTCTCAGCATGGATGTTTATCAGCACTGAAATCATGCATCACATGGAAGGTGAACATGTAGAATTAAAGCGCAGACATAGTTTCATTGAGTCTTTAAATGCTTTAGATGTTTAATGTCATGCTAAAACTTAAAATAATAGCGACTAGAGGTGTATTCAATAATATTGACATGAATATTGATTAGATAATGCACATTTAAGTGAGGAAAAATTTCAATGAGAATACCAGCATTAGGATTTACAGTACACATTCTGACAATCCAAAAGCTGTACATTTACCGATTGAAGTAACAGTGAATTGAGTGAAAATGATATTTAAATCTCATATGCAAAAATAAATTTGTACACAACTTTAAATAATACATATTCAAAAAAATAAACCATATAAATCTAAGCAAAGAAAATGAGACCGTTATAAACTATCTACAATTGTTTTAATATAAAACCGACTAGTATGGTAATAAGTTAAGCATCTTAAATGTTCCTATAAGACTGTATTTACTATTATTTTAAATACAACTGCAATGATAATGCAGATTTATTTACGAACCTGTCTCTCATAAACCTTATGTTTAGTCACGAGGGGTAAAAGAACCCTACAGTAGCAGCAGGCAATGGTTCACTAGTTCAAGGAGGGGTAGTCAAGTTCAACAGACAGAAATAAGACTTTAGTCAAACCCGTTTACTATGAAAGCACATTTCCACCATAGAACAGAAAAAAAGATAGCTGCGAGTTTGCAGAGAATCACAATTCTCAAAATGTCCCTTCAGTTCAGCAAAACAAATATTGTTTCTTTCTGACATGTAAAAAGCCAGATTTTCCCTTCATCCAGCTTAAAAATATATATTCTTTCAACATTTTTGAAAGCCTATATTGTAAGAATTTGCAAGTAAAATATTTGTGGAACTCTAAGGGGAAATAATGTTAGAATGCTCAATTTTTAAGCCGTTTCAAGATTTAAATTTAACCTCCTTTGTCTTAGAGTTCAATGGACTCATGAGGTTAATTTGATTCAGCTTAAAAATTAAAGCAACCAGGTAATCCAGAGGAAAATACGGAATAGAAAGTTGTCAATTTTAAAAACATAAACATACAATTAATCTCACAATTCTGTTCTGACATTTTACGAAGAACTGAGAATCGGTTTTGCAATTTTATATTGTAGTTTTGCAATTCTGAGGGGATTAAAAAAAACTAATTTGCAAGAAAACGTTTTTAATCTAGCAATTCTGAATTTTACCTTCAGTTCAGCAAAAACAAATATTCTTTCCTATGATTTTTTTTAAATTTCTCTAAATTTTTGAGAGCCTAGATTGTGAGAATTTGCAAGTAAAATATTTGTGGAACTCTAAAGGATAATAATGTCAGAATGCTCAATTGCTAAGCTGTTTCAAGATTTAAATTTAACCATCTTTGACTTGGAGTTGTGACTTTTTATTTTTAAATAGCATAAAGAAAAAAATAACCGCACTGTAAAAAAAAATAAAAAAAAAAATAAAAAATTATATGATCGATTAGTCCTGCCAGCATGTTTTTAGTTCATTGTAACTTTAACTAAGTAAATCATGTTCTAGCCTAATTTTAAAAGTTGAGCAAGCTGTTTTAAGTCAGTTTAACATCATATAAAGTTCAATGGACTCATGAAGTTAATTTGATTCTGCTTAAAAATTTAAAGCAACCAGATAATCCAGAAGAAAATACGGAATAGAAAGTTGTCAATTTTAAAAACATAACCATACAATTAATCTCACAATTCTGTTCTGACATTTTACGAAGAACTGAGAATCGGAACTGAGCATCTTTGACTTAGAGTTGTGACTTTTTATTTTTAAATAGCATAAAGAAAAAAAATAACCGCACTGTAAAAAAATTATATGATCGATTAGTCCAGCCAGCATATGTTTTTAGTTCATTGTAACTTTTTAAACTAAGTTAACTCAATTTTAAAAGTTGAGCAAGCTGTTTTAAATCAGTTTAACATCATATGAAGTTCAATGACTCATGAGGTTTTTTTGATTCCGCTTAAAAATTTAAAGCAACCAGGTAATCCAGAGGAAAATACGGAATAGCAAGTAGTCAACTGCTACTGCTTGTAATTTCCAGCTTAAATCTCCCACTTCCACTTTTTCCACTGAAGTTTATAACCCTAAGCTGCATTTATTAACAATCCAAATAAAAATACTTTTAGATTAACTTATTATACGATAAAACATCACAATTATCTTTTTTGTGTTTATTCAATGGCAGAAACAAGCATCCACAGCTTACAGGTCTGTGTGTCACATTTGAACATTAAACACAAGCCTGACCAACACAACACGTTCATGGCGTGTTACGCTGCTTTAAAGGAACATTCATTTTTTGGGGGGAAATAGGCTAATTTTAAAATTGTATTCAGTCCCCTGGAGTTAAACAGTTGAGTTTTACCATGTTTGTATCCATTCCGCTGATCTCCAAATGGTCTTTTAGCTTAGCTTAGCATAGATCATTGAATCCGATTAGACCATTAGCATTTCACTCCAAAAAAAATTATAAAAAAATTCTGGATAATTTTCCCATTTAAAACTTGACTCTTGTGTACTAGACTGACGGAAATTTTAAAGAAGCAATTTTCTGGGTCAATATGATATTTTACAGCACCTAAAAAGTCCCCAGTTAGGCGAAAAGGTAACAGCGCTTCGTTATGTCATCAGGTTTCTTGATTATTACTCCAGAATGACAGTGCAGATCCTAGCCATCATCACTTAGAATATAGCACTTCATTTCTTTCCATCTTAGCACTGCAGAAGAGTCAAGCTTAAAATAGAATAATTATTGAAACTTTTTTTGTTTTTGTGCTGGATGCTAATGGTCTAATCCGATTCAATGATTTATGCTGAGCTATGCTAAAAATGCTGCCACCAGACCCGGCTGAATGGATACAAAAATGGTAAAACTTAACAGTTTAACTCTAGAGACATAAATGAGCCTATTTCCAAACAAAGTATAGTGTTCCTTTTAGAAAACATCAACAGGAGCTTTGACGTGGATCCAGCAATCAGGTCAAGGGACTCTCAGACCAGCATGAAACCCACTTCAACACTCGATGAGAATCTAAGGCACCCTGGAACCCTGATATTCTTAATATGTGATGACTTTTAAACCCCTCTACTGAATACAGCGCTGAAAATGCTGTTCAATAACCTGTTTTTTTAGCCAAAGAGACTCTTCCGGAAAGGCTTAGAGGCTGTTTGGGGTCTTGGCCAATGACGTAATGTGTTTACTCACTCTAGTCAAACAATACAGTGCTTTTGTGGCCCGAACCAGCATGAATCTCAAGATCAGCTACTCCGTGTAAGAAATTTGTTAATCCTAGAATTGGAAAATGTAAATACACACACACAAGATTACATCCCCACAATGGCATATCACAATCCAGAGACCATCTGCTGTCTCGATGAGCTCACACACACCAAACATGTAACATCGGAACATTTCGCTTACATCTGCGAAGCTTCGTTGTTCAACTGTAAGACTTTGAAGGTTGCCAAATGTCATTTTTTGTGCAATAAAAACAGGATGTCAGGGACATCAACAAATAAGGTAGTTTGAAAGCTCAAGCCTTAAATTGATGGGTTTAAATAACTCGATGAGACATTCCCACCATCTTTAATGTGACGTTTTATGTCTGGACAATAATGTTGAAGCATGTCAGTTTGTTTGGGGCAGTGAAGGTTTTCACAGAGGGCCGGTGTCACTTAGGCACAAGGCCTCGGGATTGTGGGTAAAGAGGAGACCCTGAGCCGGACAGAGGGCTATGGGCTGAAGTTGGAGTGCTCACCTTCTTGCCTGTTTTTGGACGGCTGTGAGAGGGATTGTGGAAAAGAAGAACAAAAAATAATAGTTAAAAAGGTAGGATTAACAAATAAGTGGGAAATAGATGGAGGTAGGGCTGCAGGATATTCCAAAATGAAGATACTGTGATAAAACTAAAATTGTTTTAGGGGGGTGGGTGAGTGAGTGCAAAATAAAATACAGATTAAAAAAGTTTTTTGATTTTGTGTGTGTACCATGCTTAAAAGATTTCACAGTTTGGGATTTTGAACATTTAAGTGTGCACACTTGAATTTCCCCTTCACAAGAGCTTACATAAATGAATGAATTTTATTGTGTGGTTTTTTTGTGTGTGTATGATTTACTTTTTATGTACGGTGAAGTGATAAAGTTTTACTAAAACATGTTCTTTGTTTGTTTCAGAATATTTTTTTTCTTTTCTTAATTAATATTACAACTATACAAAAAAAAAAAAAAAAAAACGTTAAAAAATGTAAAATGTGTGAGAAAATGTTGAGTGTATTGCCATTTTAGCTTCTCTGGCTATGTCATAGCAAAAACAAGTTTACCACATTTTATAAATACCACTTTTCTATAATTATAAAAATATTCAGTAACACTTTATAATAACTACACAATATAAATCCTCTGTTAATCATTAGCAAATAGTGAATTCATTATCTGTTGTTATCATGCTGTAAGCATGAAATCTACATTAATAGACGTTAACAAGCAGTTTATAAATACAGCTACAAATGCGGTGTTCTTGACTTAAGCAAATTTATAAAGTGCTCAATAATCGCATTTTTATACTTTATTACCTATTAATTGTTCATTAGTAAATTAAGTATTGCATTATTTACAAACTATTTGTATTTAAGAGTAGTTGGTGGGTTTTAGAATCATTCAAATCAACATATACAGTGGAAGTCAGATTCGCCCCCCTTTGATTTTTTTTTCTTTTTTCTTTTTTAAATATTTCCCAAATTATGTTTAACAGAGCAAGGACATTTTTACAGTATTTCCAATAATATTTTTATCTTCAGGAGAAAGTCTTTTTTTTATTATTTTGGGTAGAATAAAAGCTGTTATTAATTTTTTAAACACCATTTTAAGGTCAAAATTATTAGCCCCTTTAAGCTATTTATTTTTTCAATAGTCTACAGAACAAACCATCGTTATACAATAACTTGCCTAATTACCCTTACCTGTCTAGTTAGCCTAATTAACCTAGTTAAGCCTTTAAATGTCACTTTAAGCTGAATAGAAGTGTTTTGAAAAAATTCTAGTCAAATATTATTTACTGACATCATGGCAAAGATAAAAGAAATCAGTTATTAGAAATGAGTTTAGAAATGTTAAAAAAAAAAAAAAATCTTCTCTCCGTTAAACAGACATTGAGGAAAAAATAAACAGGGGGGCTAATAATTCTGACATATATATATATATATATATATATATATATATATATATATATATATATATGCTATGAAATGCTTTATTAACTCAACTTCATGCAGTTCTGTGACCTAATCTAAACTGAGGACTATTTATGCTTTGTAAATCCCTTATAAATGACAGTTAAAGGCTTAGTATTAAATGAACAATAAATTGTTGCTATTGCTGTATCTAAAAAATGAAATGACTAAACTTTAAACATTGCACAATAAAACACAATTACAAACCAACACAATTAAGTAAAATTGGATAAAACAGCAACAATAAAATAATATAACAGCATATTATGATAAAAACATTTTAAAGTTAGTCAGTGAAGTTTAAACTGCACAGTCATTTTATTTTTTACATAAGATTGCAAAGATTTATTTCATTAGACACAGTTTGTGTATCTTCTAATGAATAGAAAGGAATAAAGTCATTTATTTATTTTTTCTGTTTAGAGTCTTTGATTGTCATTTATAATGGATTTACAAAGCATAAATAATTCTCACTTTAGATTAGGTCAGAAAAATGTATAAAGTTGACTTAATAAAGCATTTTTAATTATTAATAAGATATCTAAAAATTGATTATATTATAATAGTATGCAATAAAGTGTAAGCAACTATTCTACCAATTAAAAGTCAATAACCGCAATAAATAATACACAAGGTAAAATACATTAATAATAATAATATAAAAAAAGTTAAGGTTAACTTTTAAACTAAAAATGTAAGATTTTATTTTGATTGGGGGTTCGTTAAAGGATGCATGAAGTGCCAGCTTTAGAGTAAATATGCACTGCCCGGTCAAAAAAAAAAAGGTTTAGGTTTTAGAAGTAAAGACAAGTCAGGGTGAACTAGTGTAAACTGTGCTGCTATGTAATCGAACGTTCACACCGAAAGCGGCGAGAGCGTCAAAGTAGCTGGAAGTCATTCATTTTCAATAAGAGCCGGCGGCGACAAGCGGCGAGGAGCAGAGTGGCGCGTCATCTCCAGCGTGGGCGTTGAGGAGAGTTGAAATCAAGTCAACTTTATGGTAATAAGCTATGACGCGGTTCGGCGGCAAGCAATCAGAATGAAGACGTTCACCGCTTGATAGGAGTTCAGAGATCCATCCACAGAGTTTGTAATGTAGTCAAATGTTTACAAATACAAGCCCAGCCGCTTAAGCCTCTTTTCCACCGCACACGACAAATGACAAGCGAAAGACCGGAAGTCATTCATTTCCAATGGAGAGTAGTCCGGAAGGTACGTGGAGTTCCGATCATCTCCGTATGCGGAAAATTCAGATCCGAATTGAGATGCAGATCCGTTGAAATATTTGAGCTCCTGCGACTAGACCGTATGCGACCTGCCTAACGGATGTGAAGTATTCCAGTGTGGTCCAAGCAGGTCCGTGTGCGCGAGTTGAGAAATAGGCCTTTATTTGGTTATTTTTTTTATCAGAAAAAGTCTGTATAAAAAAAAAAAATCTGTTCATAAATGTAAGTAATAAAGTAATAAAAACATATATTTTTACGTTGTCTCCACATTCCCTCCAATATTTTTAGCGGTCTATGAGTTTCTAGTATTCATTCCTTCATTCAACCATGGTGAACGCAAAGAAAATAAAGACTCCTGCTTTTGCACTACTTTATTTCGGACACTGCCTGAGCAGCTTCTCTCCCATGGTGCATGACAGAACTGAAAATTCTGTGCGACTGCCACAAGGGGGTGCAATCCGACAGTCTTGTCCAAATGTCGTGTGCAGTGGAAAGGTGGCTTTAGACGTCATTTCTGGGTAATGATGTCAGAATTTACCGGTATTTTGGAATGGATGTATGAAGGGTCTTTTCCGGAAAAATTCTGTAACGTCCTCGTCTATGAGAACAGTGCTTTTTTGAATTTATCGGTAAAGTTATTCCAGAAATTTTCTGGATATTTACCTAGTGAAAGAGGCTAATGCAGAATTATTTGTGTTTCTGTCATATCTTTGCAAACAATTCTTTTAACTCTGATTCGGTGTGTAGCATTTCGGGGGGAAAAAAAAAAATTGGACAGCTGTATGCTATGCTCATCTACCAGGATGAAATTGCAAAACGACAGGATGGAATTGTAACCCAAAAGGCTCCCAAATTGTGAAGATGGTTCAGAGGAATCACTGTCACACATGATTTGACCACCACAAAGGCCTTAACCCTGCTAAAATAACTGTGGAATCTGTTTTTTTGAGTCTCCTGTTGTCAATGCAAAGTCTGGGGCAAAATTATAGCAAATCTTGGCCCTACAAAAACACACATTTGAGCTAAAGGCAGTCCAGCTAAATACCAAACTGAGCGATTTTCATTTGGCTAGGCAGTGTATATTCCAGCAGTGCATATGCGTGTTAAATTAAACGGCAATCAATCTGACAATCCCGCTAAGCCATATTCGCAACACTGATTTAATGTCGACATATATCGTGCAGCCCTAGTTGGAGGAACTATTTCTCACCCTGACTTTGGTTTCTTGGAAAAGCCAGCAGCTGAGGCACTGAGGCCTGGACTAGAGCCCAGGCTGGCATGAAAACCAGAGGCGTCCACCTGGATTTCGTCCTCCTCCCTCAGAGCGTCCTCCAGAGCTGCAGCTACTTTAGGTGCGATCACTGGCCCCTCGTAGTCTTTTGTGGTCCGGGAGGGCAAATCCAGCTCCAGCAGCAAGATATTCTCAGCCTGGAAAACAGGAGGAGAATATTTAAAGATGAAAGTCTTAAAGCATTCTGAACACAGGTTATGGATGTTTAAAGTTGTTGATTGGGTTCTTTATAAGATTAGTTCACCCAAAAAAATGAATTATTTTATCAAAGGGAAAGTTCACCCAACATTGTCCTAATATTCTTAATCTTCACTTGTTCCAAACCTGTTTGAGTTTTTTTTTTTTTACACAAAAGATAATATTTTTTTTAAATGCTGGAAACCTGTAACCATCTACTCCATAGTAGGAAAAACAAAAAACTGTGCAAGTCAATGGTTACAGGTTTCCAGCATTTTTTCTAAATAGAGAAAGTACTTGCAAGAGAGTGAATGGTGAGTAAGGGCCTACTCACACTATGCCATCTGTACCGTGCCCAGGCCCGTTTCCCGGATCGTTTGAGAAGTGTGAGTGCGCTAAATCGGGCTCAAGCACGGTTCACTTGGCCGGGCCTGGCTCGGTTGGAAGAGGTGGGCCTGAGCACGGTTCACTTAGGCTTTGGCGCGGTACACTTGTGTGTGAGTGCAAAACGCGCCAAAGCCCGAAACTGAAAGCGAGACGTGACTTATAAGGGACTGTTTGATATGGATTTATTAATCATTCTTACTGTTCAGTGAATGCAAACTGCCGTAGTTTATTAAAGACGCAAACCCCTCACTGCACGACAGCTGCGCATCTTCAGCAGACCTCCTCATTCCTGCAGCACGAGAGCTTTATGATTATGAGAGCCAAAAGTGGCGGATCTGTTCGGCGAAATATCTGACTGCGTGTCACCGCATCCCTAAGGACTGTTTGACGAAATATTTGACTGCATGTCACGGCATATCAAACGACTGACACGATATAACTAGAGAAATCTCCACTGTGCTGCTGAGTGAGAGAGTGCTTCTCACTGATCAGCACAGCAGCGATGACGTAAGCGTGCCGAGGCCCGATTGTGTGTGAGTGCGGGCCGTCGAGGGAGACGGGAGGGGGGACAAGCGTGCTTTGGCCCGGTTCGAGGCAACTGTACCTAGTGTGAGTACGGCCTAAAATGCCATTTTTGGATGAACTATTGCATTATCCTCATGTTGTTCTGAGATCTTTGGAACACAAATTAAGATCCAAATAAACATGGCTTTGTTCACTTATGTCTTCTATTCCTCATTAATCAGGGTGCGCCTTTACTACAGGCAATATGTCGTATTGCTATTGGAGTCAACAGCGCAACACGCAAGCATTTTAGGCTTTATTCACATGATGCCAATGATGACGTGCAAAATTCAGATGGAGGGAAGAAAGTGATTCTTCTGCATAGTAATCGCTATCAGAACATCAAAATGTTTTTTGTTTTGTTTTGTGTTGTTTACAATTGTTTAAATCTGCCAAAATAAGAAATGCCAAACAGCTTTTGTAGACTTACAGGAGTTTTTGCTCATAAAGATTTATTCAATACATCATAACAGGGCCGGAGTGGGACTCCTTTTCAGCCCTGGTGTTTTTAATATTGCACAATATTAAAATAGTTTGAGCTTGAATATAATTTTTTTATTAATCTAAAAGCCATTATAAGAGCAACAATGGATCATTTACCTCAGATTCATAAATAATATATTTAGAGCACACAGTCTAACACCCAGAACTAATGTAATGTGTATTTATATAGCACATTTAGTGTATTTATGTATATTTATATAGCACATAGAATTTTGTAGACAAAGCTCTAGAAATTTCCTCGCATGACTGTCTCAGGGTCCTTTACACCTAGACTTTTGCTTCGAAGCCTGTCTCGTTTGCCCAGTTAGGACGGTTCGTTTGGCATATGTGAAACGCGATCGGAACTGCATCAAAAACAATCGCTCCGAGATCGCCTGAATGAGGTGGTCTCGACTCGATTGAAACAAACTCTGGAGCGGATCGATTGCAGTGAGAAAGCAATATGATCCAATCCCGGTTATATCACAGTGTATTATGGATATGTAATAGGCATCCGGCTATATGAAGAGAGATTTATGAGTAGCGCAGGAGGTCATTCCAGACATCCCAAGTCTCTCGAAGGTTTCGTGAGTCTTCCGCAAATGCACAAAGACTCTCGAATGCACGCAAACAAGTGATAACCTTGCGGGACTCTGCAATATAAACCGTGAAACTGACCAATGTGAGGAGAGTTTACTGACACTTGACTTGTTTTAGCTAAAGAAGCAACACTGTAACAATTTAAATCCCTGTTTCGGAACAACTGAATCGATTCACGGGTGTGAAAGCACACTAACACCCTAAAATGGTAGTTTTGTAGACAAAGCTCTAGAAATTTCCTCGCATGACTCTTATTTACCAGCTACAGCCTGATGACTGCATTTCACATAAGTGACTGCCAGTTGGTATGTGAAAAAAAGAATTAAAAATAAAACTAAAAATACTAAGGAACTAAAAGTAGCCTACAATAACACAAGGAAAATGTGTGAAACAATGTGATTAAAAAAACATGATGTGGTACAGAAAAACCAATAAATTCTTGATAAATGAAAACTACACTTTAGACTTGGATTAAAAAATAAATAAATTCCCAGAATGTTTTTTTAAAGGTGACTTTTAAAATTCAATGACTAATGAAAATGTGTCTTAAAATGAATAAAAAATGGATAGTTCGGGTTCTTGATTCTAATTGGCTGAATTATTGGAATATGTTGTAATTTACTCAACAAAGACACACTGTGACAGTTAATCAGCAACCATTCCCATACTGGTACTGGGCCAAATAAACTATTTATAGTTATAAAAGTGTTTAATAAATGCAAAACAGTGTATTAATGCAATACAGTGAAAACAAGTGTGTTAAGGCACAAACACCAATTAGCTGTTATAAATTTTCTGTAAACCCTGACTTCATTCGGCTTATTCCATTATTGTATATAACAATATCATATTACCTTTCAGAAAATCAATAAAACCTCACTAAAATAAACAAAAGTGAATAAGCAAGGACATGTCATGCATTTGATTCTCCTAAGCTCATCTGTGTCGCTGTGAAGAGTGGGGGTGTATTGTTACTGAAGCCTTTGTGTTGTGCCATGTGGAGGATTATGGCAACAGTGTCAGCATACCTTGTATCTGACATCAGGCCGCATCAACATGGCCATACGGGCATGCTGACTCAGAGGCCGTCTGTAGCCCACTGCAGAAACAGGCCTTTTCATCATCTGATGATCACTGCTGAAAATAATACAGAGAAAGAAGCATTAAAATGAAAACAGGAAGGATGCTGATGGCCTCAGTTTGTAAATAAGTTTTACATTTCTAAAATAAGCCGACATACTTTTGTATACGGGTGATGGGGGTCATTTTCCAGAGATCGTCTTCTTCATCAAATGTGGCTCTTGTTACAATCTTGTTCTTCTCCTCCATTGGGATGAAGTTCTCTATGATTAAGTGTCTGGTAGATACAATGCAAATGTTTTCATGTCAGTAGTGGCAATGTTTGTTTTTCATTTTTATGTCAATTTACTTTAAAGTTAGATCACTATTCCATGATTAAAATCTATTTAAGTATATATTGTTCGAATTGGAGTATTAAAACTAAGACTTTAGTTAGGAAATGAGGTAAATTCTTAGAAAACAAAACAAAAAAGCCTAGAAGTGCTGTCACACTTGGGTTGATTTCCTGGTCCAAACCCAAGTTCACTTGTCTCCCCCTTGTCACGTGTTCACACCGTCGTTTTTTGCTTCTGAACCTTGGTACGCTTGAGTCATCAAGCTGCTGTTGTGTGTACAGCTGTTGCTAGGTTACGGCCACGAAAGCAAAGGTGCCAAAATGGAAAGACGTATGCACATCATGACTTGTGCCTATCTGCTATAAAAACATTAATAATGATGATTATTAAAAATATTAATAATTAATAATATTAATAATATCAAGACATTGTTCACACTAGCTAAATGTACCGAATTCTGACGTCAAACGAACCTGCATGCAGACCAAAAGTTATAGTGTGAAAGCACCCTAATGGCCTGTTTCCACTGAATGGTGCGTTACAGTCGATACGGGTGGGTACGGGTCACCTTTATCAGGCTTGCATTTCCACTGCCAAAAAGGGTACTAATGTTACCCTTTTTACGGGTGTTGTGTATAACAAACTTTCAGTCGATGTCATTCTCACTCGAGGAAATGTCAACAGCAAATCTGTACAGGTCTTTGACATTTTATATGAGGAGCACTTCTCACAAACCAGATGCTTTATACACATAAATACTTGTGTATAAATGTTCATTACTAACCTTTATATGAACATGATTTGATTATATCTGCAGATCAATAATAACCTAATAAACAGCCTACTGTAATATCTGCAATTATTTAAAATAAAATACATAAATGCAACATATATGAACACACACAGCCCCTTACAGTCTCTGATTTGTTACCAAATACAGAAAAACTACACACAGCATACATTTAGTCCTTTTTTGGGTTCAAAAACAACATATAGCCCAGCCAGAGCAAACCTCTCAACTGTGTGCTGATTCTTCACCAGCACATATAAGCTCTGCTAGAGAGTAATTCCGTCATTCCCAGTTTATAATAGTCCAAAAGGCGATGATAATAGTTAAACATGGCAGTTTGTTCATGTTTTAGGTTGCTGAAAGAATCATTTGCTCCTTTGTTTTTCCGACTTCTTCTTCGTTTTTTTGCGCATCACTCTCGTTTATCCGTTTTTGAAAGAATCTCAGAAGCACTTCAATAATCATGCACATTTTATTATCATCAACTCAAAAAGTTCGTTATTTCAAATATACACGAGCGGCGAGCGATCGCAAGCTCTGCAGAGAAAGTGAACCCACTGGCGCTTTAGACGACCTCGTACACAACAACACACACAGGTTCTGCTCTTCTTGGCTTTATGGCTGTTCATCAAAATGACGACAAGGTTTTGTTTGAACTCGGGTCGACCATGGCTCATCATTATATGTATAAATTGTTACGTTGTAATGTCTTGGCTGTGTATTTAATAATGGTGCTTCCATTGTTTTCATTCTCCTGTCTTGTGAATGAGCTAGTGACGTCTCTCTGTAAACAAATAGCGTTCAGCTGCTGTCTCACTCTGCCTTTTGGTACCCTTTTGTTGTGCTAGATGTTATGGTACGATTCGCTTTCTGGTACCTTTTAAAGGTGAAAACGGCCATTAAAGTGGACCGAACCGTACCGTACCACTCAGTGGAAACAGGCCATAAAAGAACTACATTTGAAATGACTTTTTAAGACTCAATGTTGCAACTTTTTGGTGTATCATGTTCTTTACTATCTTTTATATTTCTAACTTTATAATTATCATTTAGAACAAAAATTAATAACTTTTATATATTTATTTCTGGGGTTTTTATTTTGCTCTAATTAGAAAGGGATTTGTGCACCTTGAGTGTTGTGGGCTATATAAATAGAAGTCTATTCACTGATTCCACAAATATTAATGTGGAATACTAAAGGCTATATAAATAGTGAAAATATTAATAGTGAATAGTGAATAATATTATATTAATAATATTAATGTTAATATAAATAGTGAATTAATATTAATGTGAAATACTATAAGGGCTATATAAATAGAAGTCTATTTACTGAAATACTAAAGGCTATATAAATAGTGAAAATATTAATAGTGAATGGTGAATAATATTATATTAATAATATCAATATTAATATAAATAGTGAATTAATATTAATGTGAAATACTATAAGGGCTATATAAATAGAAGTCTATTTACTGAAATACTAAAGGCTATATAAATAGTGAAAATATTAATAGTGAATGGTGAATAATATTATATTAATAATATTAATGTTAATATAAATATTGAATTAATATTAATGTGAAATACTATAAGGGCTATATAAATAGTAAAAATATTAATAGTGAATAGTGAATAATATTATATTAATAATATTAATGTTAATATAAATAGCGAATTAATATTAATGTGAAATACTATAAGGGCTATATAAATAGAAGTCTATTTACTGAAATACTAAAGGCTATATAAATAGTGAAAATATTAATAGTGAATGGTGAATAATATTATATTAATAATATCTATATTATTATAAACAGTGAATTAATATTAATGTGAAATACTATAAGGGCTATATAAATAGAAGTCTATTCACTGATTCCACAAAATATTAATGTGAAATACTAAACTATTTATGATAAAACACTGGGATTGTGTCATTTAAAAATCAATATAAAGAAGTTTTAAAATGGCACCTTTTTGTTCGTTTGTTCTGTTTATTTTATGGTATTTTTATTGTTTAATTGGAAATGTCATCAGTAGTTTGCAGAATAAACTAAATTTTATGTTACATAAAATAATTTCAAAATATGCTTGAAAATTGGCATGTGTTTCTGTGAAGGTTGGGATTAGGGGAAGTTAGGCCAGAGACAGTAACTTTAACCTGATATAAAAAACAATGAAGGTCCACGTAATGTCCTCACTAAGAATGTGTGTGTATATTGCATATTTTTTGAAAATGAAGTTGTTCTTATAAATTGTATACAAGTTGTATAAACCCACATGTAACTAACACAATCTTGGCAGAGAGAGAATTGTAGACAAAACAACTTGTAGCAAAAAATGTATCTTTCCTTATCTTGAACATTAACCCAAATTTCATTCTGCCAACTGCACTCAAAAGCAGCCTGCCAGATACATCTTCCTCTTAATAGATACTCTCCCTCTCCGGCCACCCACAGTGTTCTCAGCCTGTATGTGTATTAAACTCTTGACATCTGTAATGTAGTAGAGCTGAGTCCAGATTTCCAAGCAGTTTGTCTCATCAGCGAGACTCAATTAGGTCAAAACGTTTTAGATGTTACTTTTTAAAATTCAGCTTCCACATTGAAACACTGACCACTGAAACTAAATAAAAGTGAATATCCATTGTACATAATGTAAAATATTGCTATAATGCTAATAATAAGAGTTTTATGGGTTCACATACTTGAGTTTAAGTTCTCTGGTCAGTTCATTCTGAGTCTGTTCCAGTTCCTGTCTGTATTTCACGTGCTCATCCTGGGCATCCTGAATCTCTGACTTTACAGACTGAAGCTTGGAAAAGAGCTGTAGGAAAGGCACAAAAACAAACAGGACATGATAAAATGAGGCTCTTCATAGGAATAGGCAAGGCATTCGCTTTGTAAACTCCAGCTAAACGAGGTCAAATTCATTCACGTATGGATGAATTTTAACAAGGAGGTTGGAGATCTGCCATGAGAGCTGTCCTACTATCAATGACTCCAGAGAATACAGCTAGACTCTAATAATACATCTGATCACATACAGAAGCGGTTTTCATAATGTCATTTTACCAAGATATAATACGACAGATCATATACAGGGGCCTTGTGATTTGTACGATGCATAAAACATGAACAGAATCATAGAAGCCAGTCAAAGCTTGGAATCTGGCAAAACGTGGATAACCATTTATAAGGCTGGATTAGAGCTGCAAAATTAATCGTTAAAAGATCGCGATCTCGATTCGACCCTCTAACGATCTTAATCCAGCATTTCTACGATTCTGTCAATCATATTTTCAAGTTCAGGAGAGAAAAAAAGGCGGCTGCACGGGTCTGTTTATTGTTTCACATACGTTGCTCAGTGACACTGACACCTCTAAATAATGTTGAACGAGTCACATAATGTATTTATAAGGTATAATTCACCTAAAAATGTAATTTTTGACTTCATATAATGATGTTTTCGCGGCCGGGAAATCACACGTGACGTGAGCTGCTGGCTGTGAGCTGTTATCACAGAGAGGGCGCGTGGCCGCTCAACTTAATGATAGACGCGCGCGCGTCTACTCTAGTGAACAGAACCTGCATATGTTGCGAGTAACGGGTAATACAGTTGTAAGTAATATTCTGTTTGTGGCACAGAGTGATAGTTTGGGAGCCGCGCGAAGTATGAACAGCACTTAGCAGTCAAAATTAAACCGAAAGTGTGCACTTCATTTAAATGATCAAGTCGCATTTTAGAGTTATGATTACGAAAAGCATTTGATGTTTTTTTTTTTTTTCATAGCGAACACACAGTTGTGCGTGAAAATAAATGTTCACAATGTCAGTATAACTACTCTAGCCTATATATTGTTGTTGAATATAATCTGATAATGGCAAATATCTGATTTTTATGTGAGATTGCAAGCATATATCTCGAACATAATAATTCAACATCAGAAGTATTATAAGTAAAATAGAATTATTTATAAAAACCAGTAGACCTACACATAATATTATAATCGATGTTGTGCCATTTGTTTGTTTTTATCATACCTTTATTTTACATATACAGAATCGTGAGAAAATAGTGATCTTTATTTTCCTGACTCTGTGTGGGATGTCATCATTCCTACCAGTAAATGTGCGAATCATGTCAAATACAAAAGTGAAAGCATGCTGAATTATTAACAAGCCGTTTATTCATTAGGGAAATTGACCAAACCGCAGTCTTGCTTTATCTGTTATTTCTCTCCATAATGTAAAGCCTGTAATGCATAATTCTAGCCAACAGCTATGTATGAGAAAGTCTATATTCCTCTGATTTATATCTTGTGACTATGTCTTTGGGTGTCACCATTTAAAATTAAAGCACAGCTTTTCACTTCACTTGCTCATCGTCATTAATAAAAATTAAAACGCGTGACAGCTGAGCGGGACTCTGAAAAATAAAGCGTGGGAATCTGACCAATGTGAGGAGAGTTTACTCACACGTGACTTGTTTTAGCTATTTTGGTCCATTTAGAAATTTTGCTGTGTAAAAGTGAACCGCACCAAGAACAAAGTGCAACATTTTAACTATTTTAATCCCTGTTTCGGAACAAAACAATTGATCTACAGGTGTAAAAGCACCCTTAAATTAGGTTTTACAGATAGAGAAAGATAACAGATAAAAGTGAAGGTTGTGCAAGAATTGTAGGCTTAATGTCAGTTTTGTTTGCCCCTTTGTAATGAGACATGAGGGCCGCCTTAAACCTGAGTTTAAAGTCTAGTGACTGTTCAAGGGTAAAACTTTAAGGTAATATCACACCGCGCAATGGGTAATTTTATTTTTCCATGAAAAAGAAAATCAGACTTGCCTGATGTGGGGTTTTTTTAACAGTAAACTGACAGTTTTCTAATGCAAGATGAAGAACAGCAAATCTTCAATTTGCCAATGATCATGACAGATATTTGACAGCTTCTAGGTGAACTAATGGTGTAACATCTAAAAACAAGTGAAATACCACATTTACAAGTTTGAGATTTTCCAATTACATTGCACAGCCTTAAAATGAGCCCCAATTTTGTATATAAACCTCAATATTCAACAATAAAATGAATGCATAAAACTTTTTACAATGTCCTGCTGTACCTTTTTCAGTTTCTTGGTCTTGATGTCAACTTCCTGCTGCAGTGAACTGTACGTCTCTTTTAGCTCCAGTGTCTCCTCGTCACGACACTCCATCTCTTGCTTCATCTCCCTTTCCCGCCTTTTCTGCTCACACACACGCACACACACGCACACACACGCACACACACACACACACACACACGCACACACACACACACACAAACGCACGCACGCACACACACACACACACACACACACACACACACACACACACACACACACACACACACGCATACACACACACACACACACACACACACTATAAATATTACAAACATCTCTGCCTTTAGTATGACATGAAACTTCTCATATATAGTTAATACAATTTAAACAAGGAAATTTCCACACATATCTGTCCAATCAACATTAAGCTATAAAGGAATTTGTTAAAGACAAGGCTAATACTTGCATTAGTACATAAATCCAGCTCACAACTAAACATACAGGATAAACGAGGAATGCTTAGATCAACATTTTTTTTCTCAAATGAAACCAAATGACCAGTCTCCTTTAAAACAACCTTAAGGTCTGAAACTCAGTCCAGCTCAATCTATAAAGTCTGTTATGGCAACGTCACCTGTTCTGCGATCTCCTGTCTCTTCAGCTCCAGAACCTTCTGCTGCTCGTTGGTGTGGTCCACTATGTTCTTTCCTCCTACCAGCAGCTTGCTCTCCATGGCCTGAGAGTAATGATAGGGTTTTAGACAACATATGTTTTTACCCTGATAAACATAGCTAATGTTAGATATAAACCAAGCAAAGGTAACGACTACTATTAAATTCTAAAAATAGTTCAAAGGAAGACAACTAATGAATAGAAAGAGAAAGGCAATTATAAACATATGGGCTGGTTCTTTTAATGAATCAGTTAAAAGAATCACAAACTTAAAAATAATGTTTTTTTTTTCGGCTTTACTGGTCGAGCCAGTCTTGACAACAGTTAAACTCAAAATTTATCCATAAAATGTGGAATTTTAAACCTTTATTGCCATTCACAACAACAAAATTGAGATTTTAAATGTATCAGTTTAAGATTTATTTAAATAACAATATTTTTTTATATTTAATATAGAAATTTCACACAATATCTTTGGTAGAAATATCTTGTTTTCTACCAAAATAGAAAGAATTTTGTATTTATTTTACTTTTACTTAATTCAAAATCATATGAGGGTTTACACAAAAACATTAAACAACATTTAAATAATATTTTAGAATAGTTTTTGATTAATTATTTGAAGATTTTGCTATCTGCTTTTAAAATGCATACAGTTGAAGTCAGAATTAATAGCTCCCCTCAATTATTAGCCCCCCTGTTTGTTTTGTTTCCCAATTTTTTCAACACATTTCTAAACATAATAGTTTTAATAATTCATCTATGATGATGATTTATTTTATCTTTTCCATGATGACAGTAAATAAATATTTTACTAGATCTTTTTCAAAACACTTCTAAACAGAATAAAGTGACATTTAAAGGCTTAACTAGGCTAAATAGGTTTACTAGGCAGGTTAGGGTACTTAGGCAAGTTATTGTATAATGATGGTTTGTTCTGTAGACTATCAGAAAAATACTTAGCTTAAAGAGGCTAATAAAATTGTCCTTTAAATGGAGTTTAAAAATTATTAACTGCTTTTACTGCTAAAATAAAACAAATAAGACTTTCTCCAGAAGAAAAAACATTATCAGACAAACTGTGTGAATTTCCTTGCTCTGTTAAACATCATTTGGGAAATTTAAAAAAAACTCAAACGGGGAGCTAATAATTCTGACTTCAACTGTATATCTGTTGGTAAAGATATTATCATAATATAGTAAATATAAAACTAATAATATTTAATTTAATGTTTTGGTGGCATTTCTAACTGTTAATTAGGGATGTCCAGATCTGATTTTGTGATCGGAAATCGGGCCCGATCACGCAGTTTCAGACTTGTTTGGAATCGGACATTACTATCTGATCAGGACTCAAATATATGTATATTATATATATTCTCATAATTTGTTTAACACATGTATAGTTATGCTGTGGCACAGAGTTAGACATCTTTCTTCACTTCACACAGAAACAGCAAGTGCAGCACGACATCCCTTTGTTGCAGAGATGCTATTGGTTTAATGGCTGCAAAATAGAAAACGAAAGCAGCTTGTATGTATGTATGTATGTGGTCTGGAGGTATTATTGTATATAAGTTGATGATGACAACATTTCCTTAGAAAACTGTGAGATATGCAAACTTAGCATTTCCTGCCGGGTATCTTAAGTTGAGGTGCTGTTTGGTTTTATATTTACTGTTGCACTAAATTCCAAAAGTGAAGAATTTATATCATTTATCACTTGATTGTTTAAGCTACCTCACAGAAGTGCTCTGTTTGTAAACAGAGTTGTTGAATGTACATCCTGAATCTGTTTCTTTGCTCTTCTTTATTCTTTTTATGTATTATAGAAGTATCAGATTGGGTTTCGGTATCGATAGATTCTCAAAATTAAAAAAAAATCTAATTGGGACATCCCTATTGTAAATCCAGAAATTTTTCTTAACACCTTACAGACTCCATTATGTATTTGTATTTCATTCAAAGCTTGAAGTTTCTAACCTTAACTTTGGCTGTCAGCATCTCTGATGCCTCTTTCTCTTTGTGCAGGTCAGTCATCTTCCTCTCCTTCTCCTTCAGCAGCCGCTGTTTCTCCTCTGCCACCAGACTGTGGTCCTCCATGATGGCTCTCCTCTCCTTCTCCAGCTTCTCCTGTTGCTCATGCCAATAATCTGCAATGTTCTTATCTGCATCCACTCCTTCCTCTTCGTCTTCATCATCATCATCATCATCCTCTTCATCCTCCCCATCCTCAAACTCCTCTCCTCCTTCTCCAACCCTTCTTCTCCTCCTTCTCCTCCTCTTCCTTCCAGACCTTTTCTCCAACTGTTCTTTCAAGCGGGCAATCTCCTCCTGAAACTCCCGAAGAAGGGCATCCTTGGGGTCTTCATTGACACGGGGTTTGTTCTTGATGTTTTTGGCGCGGTTTGCATAGCGTAGCGTCGTTAGAGTCTCCTCTACATTGTAGGAAGCTGGTCCAATGTTGGCCACCATAACCGTTCGGGCGTTTCCACCCAAGGAGTCTTGAAGAAGTCTTGTAAGCTTAGAGTCACGGTACGGGATATGGGTGCTTCTTCCATCCACCAACGCTGAGATGACGTTTCCCAAAGCTGACAAGGAGAGATTGATTTTAGTGGCTTCTTTTAAGCGTTCACCTTGAGCACCGGTTTTGGTCTGTCTTTCACTTCCTGCCAGGTCAACAAGGTTAAGCTTCCCAACTCGAATATGGTTCTCTCCGTCAGGACCCAACTCACTGCACTCAATGGTGATGACGAAGATGGCATGAGAGCGAGAACTGTGTTCATTCATGTTTGTTGCACCAACTGAGCGGTTCTGGTTCCCCACATTCATCACATGCTCAATCTCACGAACACTTTTAGTGACAAACGAAGACAGGTCTTTAACATAGACACCTGTGTCTGGTCGCTCTTTGAGTTCCAAACGACGTGCTTGGTCCTTTGACAAAAGGTCTCTGATCTCCTCCTGATAAATCTCCAAATATGAAGCCCTGACCAAGTACTGCTGGTTCTGAGAGCGGGAGATGTGTGTGAAAATGTGTTCAAATGAGTTTGGGATCACACCCCTTCTTTCCGGGTCGTTTCGTACCCCTTCCATTGTGTAAGTCTTTCCAGTGCCAGTCTGGCCATATGCAAAGATGGTCCCATTGAAGCCAAACAGTACAGAGTCCACTAACGGGCGGAAAGTCTCGTCGTAGAGCTCCATCTGCTTTGAATTCCAGTCATAGACAGAATCAAAAGTGAACACTTTTGGGTGCTCATGGGAAGATGCACCTCGAGGGTTGCACACTGCCACTTGCCCTAACTTCACATCCACAGATACCACTCTATTGAAGTTAGCGACTCGCTCTTTCTCATTCATGGGGCGACAACGCACCACCACCTTAACAGATTCAGAGCTCTTGCTTTTAGACATTTTGACAGCTTCTGTAGAGCTTTGGTTGGCCTGCTGGATTCTCCGAATGAGCCTGTGTTTATTTCACAGTGATGGTGCCAGCATCAGAGCCTGCAACACATGATGCAACTCCATGAAATGACATAAACATGTCCAAAACCAAAAAATAAATATGGGCAAACTTATATTATGGTTACAGCAAACAAACACAGGAAATATTTATTTTCCTAAATTGGCAAGCAAAATAAAGCCAAATCATTTGAATTTTCAAAATGATATGACACAAGAAGAATTAGAAAAAGAAAAAATAATCATAAAATAAGTCAAACTGATGAGGTATGAAGTAGGGCTGCACGAATAATCGAAAAAAGATCACGATTTCGATTCGACCCTACATACGATCCTAATTCAGCTTTGTCTATGATTCAGCCAAATATATTTTCAAGGTCAGAAGAGAAGAAAAGGCAGCCCCACAAGTCTTCACAGCAACATTGACACCTTCAAATGGCGGTAAAAGTGTCACATGCTGCATTTATAAGGTATAATTCACCCAAAATGTCATTTCTGTCTTCATGCAATGATGTATTCACATGGCCAGTCGCGAGATCACACGTGAGCTGACGCACTGTCTGTTTACTGTACGCAAATGACGCCTACTTCAGTAAACATAACCTGCATATGCTGTGATTAACAGGTAATGAAGTTGTAAATAACGTTCAATTTGTTACACAGAGCAATCCTTTGAGAGCCGTGAGGGAGGTTTGATTTGCATGTATGTAGGCTAAGCATATTAACTTTTTTTTTACAGAATCGGGAGAAAGAATCATCATCTTGATTTTAAGCAAAAAAAAATTGATTCACATCTTGATTCACATTTTTGCCAGAATCGTGCAGCCCTAGTATGAGGTTAGAATTATGACGTTATATAAAAATATGAGACTTAAATGTTGAAATATATGAAATGAGGACATTGAAAAGTTGCAAAAAAGAAAACAAAACAAGCAATAAAATTATGTTATGAAAAAATAACTTTAAATAAAGTTCAAAATAACTTTGAATTGTGGAATTTTTAAGTATGAAAACGTTTTATAAATATTTTTCATTGAAATATTCACAGCTTAAATAAACAGATATGTTAAATTTCAGGACCTAAAAATACAAACCCTGGAATTCAAGTCATTAAAATGCAAGAACTTGTTAATACGGTGTATTACTTTTTTCAGTTTGTGCTATTCAACAAGCTTTTTAATTCAAGACTTTTGGCATTGATTTTGTTCCATAGAAACATAGCTAATGTGAACTTATAACAAGACATGTTTGGACATGAACTTCTGAATGCATATTTATGCAAAGACCTGTAGAGATTTCTCTGCATGAAAGACTCGTGGATGGGAAATTATCCTGCTGCTGCTTTTCCAAGGCAAGAAATTAAATATGAAAGAAATGTGGACGTTGTGTCGAGATGATTGAGGGGGATGATGTAACTGAGCAATATCTTTTAACAAGTAGTATGTCTCAAAGCTTGCAAACTCTTCTGTTACACACTCAAAAGTATATGCTTTTCCTTTACAAAAAGTGCATACTTTCAGGGCGTAGTATATGTCTGTGAATTGCAACAGTATCTGGATGCAGCCTTTATGATGCAAGCTGAGATTGCATCACTCAGCGATGCAATGTCAGACACAATGCACCCAATGGAGTGAGTGACGTCACTGTGACGGGTAGGGTTAGGTGAGCCCATTCAAAAGCATTGGATGCAGCTCAGATTGCACTGCACCAGTTCTGCATCCAGACCCCTCTTGTGAATTGGGACGCAGAAGACACTGTGATTGAGTGTGGACTCATGAGAGTTGCATCCTATATAACTTCATTCTGCAGTACTCTTGCAGGAATCATGTTCATGGATGAGCTAAAGTATTAAAAACTTATTATCATGAAACCTAGGAAGACTGAGAGCCACTGAAGCGAAACAAGAACACTGAAGCAGTTGCTGATGAGAGATGAGCATGATGTGGCATGAAAGCAACGGAGCTTTTCATCAGTTTGTGATCATGTGGGTGAAATGCAGAGCTGTTTTTATGTATTTTCATACTAAATACATTTTACTGTGTTATATTGCTGCTCTGTGCAGTCTAGGGATACCATTAATTCCGATTGTGATATGTTTACTATACCAGCTGAAGTATCATGATAAAAAGTAGTATTGCGATACTGTAATTCATAACTCAAATCTATGAAATAAAGAAAATTGTCAGAAATATTATATTTTAAATGTTATAATAGGCCTACTTGAATAGAATTCATAATTATTTTATTATTAAAAAAAAGTATTTGCACATCACTTCCTCTAAAATACATAATTTTTGTTTATTTTGTAGAAAACTGACCAACAAAAAAATACAATAAAATAAAGATACAAATTATGCAGAACGAAATTCGTAAAAAAAAAAAAAAAAAAAGAGCAAATTAGGCTATATAAAGTGGTCAAAAATTCTTTCAATGTTTCCTGTTGCTCATTTGGGCTTTTCATTTATTTTATTTTATTTTTTTGCCTTATCAGGTAACAATCCAAAGTAATTCAAAATTTCACTTTGTGATTTGCTCTTTTTAAGAGATTGTTTCGGTTGTTGTCGTTATTAAATTATATGGACAGGAACAGAAATTAACTGATACAGATGCAAGTTCGAACTAAAGCGTCAGAAATTGTGCAACACAGTAGGCTAAAAGGCGTGTATTCTACACAGTTTTAAAACCACAGAATATTAAAATAAAACGGTCTATTTTCGCAGCATTTTAGTGACTTTTCCACATGCAACATTATGACATTACCACCGTTTACAAAGTACAGTGACACGGCCAGTATTTTGGAGTCATAGTATCACGATGCTACAATAGTACCAGTAAACCATGCGTGCAACCCTAGTGTAGTCTAATAAAATGTATAAAACGCGTTTGCTGACAAAAGTTGGTTTTAGATTTGCACATTTGGGCATTCTCCTTTATAATATCATGTCAGAAAAAGTATTATTTATAAAAATCTAAATAATAAAATTGGTGTCACATTGGCGCAGTGGGTAGTACGATCTAATGGGTAGCCTCACAGCAAGGTTGCTGGTTTAAGTCAGTTGGCATTTCTGTGTGGAGTTTGCATGCTTTCCCCATGTTCGCATGGGTTTCCCCCACACACAATTCCAAAGACATGTGGAATAGGTAAAAAATTAATAGGCTAAATTCTCCCTAGTGTATGTGTGTTATTGAGAGTGTATGGATGTTTCCCAGACTGGGTTGCAGCTTGAAGGGCAACCGCTGTGTAAAACATATGCTGGAAGAGTTAACAGTTCATTCCACTATGGTGACCCCGGATTAATAAAGGGACTAAGAAAAATTTATGAATAAATAGTGAAATTATATTAGCAGACAATGACTAAGTTAAGTTATATCCCAATATTCAAAATAGCATAGAAAATCATACAGTTAAATGATAATAATAAGTAATATTACTGCTTGTAGCCAGTCTACTGCAAAAAACGGACAGATCTAATGAGGCCAGATTATATATTTACACTATTATTTGATGGCTAGAAAACCTTTAACATTTACAGTCAGATTGTAAATTGTAAGACGTCTGACATAGCTAGGGTTATTCTTAAATTACTAATATTTTTCTAAGAAAGACATATTAAATGATACAGAAAAGATAACAAAGCTAACGTTACTTAATGTATTAGCTATAGCAACAATATATGAACGGTATGTGATATCATTTACGTTAATCCCAAATATGTGTTCAGTTCTTTCTTAACTACGTTAACGATAGTAAATCTCAGTGTCAGTTGTCATTTAAGTTAACGTTAATGTAGCAAAAGATATCGAAGATAAACAATCGAGTAACGTTACCACACAACAATGGTCTGTTTGGTTGAAAGTCCTATTGTTTGGACTAAAATCATACCTTAATAATACAATTCCGCAAATATTAGCTGGTCAAGATACATAAACGGATCAATGAAGCTCCTCAGAGACTCAACACAAGCGGCCTGGCAACCACAAACAAACCGTGTCATTTATCCAGCATTCACTGTACATTTACATACATAATAGGGCTCACCTCCGCTCTCCCGACCGATTTAACCTGCGAAGTCCGCCTAAGATCGCCGTCGCCTTCATATTCATCTGAAGCACAAACCTCTCAAATCCGCCAAGCGTCCATATGTGTAAAATTACCCGAGTCTCTGCTCCTGAGCTCTGTCAGCCATGACTGTGTGAGGAGGAGAGAGAGGGATTGAGCTCTGATCCCCCTGCAGGCCGGGATGGATCTACTGCTGCTGGATCAATCCTGCCCTCCACATTTCCGTGTAGTTTGAGTGGTTTGTAGCATATATACATATATCTATGGGTTTGTTATAATAGCGATGTAATTACATCCGAGAGTTCTTTTAAAGCAGTCTAAAATAAATCATTCCTGACAGCAAAAAAATAAAATAAGAATAAATAAATAATAAATAATTAATTAAGGATAAAGCACGCAAATAAGATGTAAAAAAATTAAAAGATCTAAAAAATGTATATATATATATATATATATATATATATATATATATATATATATATATATATATATATATATATATATATATATATAATCAGATGCAAGAAGAGTTCAGATGCAAAAACCACTAAACGCCATTTAAAAAGTTCTCCTAAAGTGAGAATTTTTCTCAACCTCCTATGTTTATGTTATTTCACTTGAAAGGCAATGAAACGAACTTATCCATCATGATAATATTTGGAGAAATATACTAATTTTAGAAAAAATATCAAATGGCTTTTATAGGTTTTTGCATTTATATATATATATGTAGTACATACATCTTCACCTTGTTGAACTAAAAGGAAAATGTAATAGACTAAATTTACCATTAATATTTACTGGAATAACAATTTGCCACATTACTACTTAGGTTTGAATCAGGTTTTAGTTTTTTGTTTTCTTCCGCTTTTGGTCTAAAAAATAATATATTTTTTTTAATTGATCAAAAGTGAGGATAAAGATATAAACAGTGCTACAACTTTGTTTCTTTGAAAAACAAAATGCTCTAACCATCACAGAATCCTCAAATATCACAGTTGTTTTAAATATTGATAAAAAAAATTCTTATATTATTTCTAAAGGTTCATGTGTCACCAAAAATTAGTTATGACTATTTAGAAAGTGCAAAAAGAAAATTGATCACAAATTGTAACATCACTTTTCAGCATTATCTGCACTTTCAGTTTGTATATTGCTATATTTTTGATCAAATACATGTAGAATTGTTGACAATAAAAGTTATTTAAAAATTACTTCATGTTTTAAATGTTGTAAATCCACAATTACTGCTTTATAATACATTTTAAACACAAAAAATATAGATCATAAAAAAAAACAAGGTACATAAATGCACAAAGCTTTCTGCTGGATATTTTTAATGAAAAACTAACTTGAGGAATGTTATTTAAAGTTGTACAAAATTACTAACAAACAGCTTAAAACAATAAAACATTTCTGCCATTTGGTTTCACGTTGACTTTCAAAAAAAAGTCAACATGCATTATTATAAGACATGGTAAGGTTTGCATAACATACATTCAGAATTACTTAGTGACACATTCCAGTATTCATTCTTAGAAACCAAAAGAGCAGAACATCATCTGGTGCTTAAACAGCCATAAAAGATAGTTCAACCAAAAATTTAATCCGATCATCATCTACTCACTTTTTAACCATTTCAAACCTTTCTGAGTTTCTTCTGTAAAACACAAAATAGTTTGAAGAAAGCTGGAAACCTGTACCCATTCACTTCCATAGTATTTGTTTTTACTATGAAGTAAATGGTTACAGTTTTCCAGCATTCCTAACCCTTACTGGTCAGTTTCCATCCTCGAAAATTGTGAATGAGTCTACACAAACATTCCAGTACAAATCAATTGATATGTCACAATAAACCCTGATGTGTTTCTGGAAGAAACTTGCAGTAATACGAAATGGAGAATTTGGTTCTGGTTTGACTGCTCAAAGTACAGCTAGTAGTGCAACATTGGGAGATATGAATCAACTTCTCCCTTCCTTTACGTACTTGAGGTGTGTATCCAAATTGCCTTGTTCAAAAACGAATGAGAAACATTAGAGTTTCATTAGATTCATTAGAGTTCTTCATTTCTGTTCTTTTTTCCAGGGTAGTCCAGTCCAAAGAAAGACGAGGGTCTCCCGTGAATGTTTCTCTCTCTTTTGACAAAGGCAGAGAAGGATGAAACACAGTTGCCGATGAAGTGATCAGCCTGTCCGAGGATGTACAGGTCAACCTGAGCAGTGTCCGGCTGCAAGCTCACCACTTTCACCTGCGCAAAATGCGTCAACAATATTATATTGGTAACCAGTTCATGTTCTGAGTTAAAATGACTTTAAGCTGTATAGAAGTGTCTTGAAAAATATTAAGTAAAAGGCTGTCATCATGGCAAAGACAAAATAAATCAGTTATCAGAAATGAGTTATTCAAACTGTTATGTTTAGAAATGTGTTGAAAAAATCATCTCTCCGCTAAACAGAAATTGGGGAAAAAAATAAACAAGGGGGGCAAATAATTCAGGGGGTTTTATAATTCTGACTGCAGTATATACTTCTCATAATATGATTTTACATCCATATAAATCTTGAACTCTCAGTTTTTTCCTTTACTGCTTGCAACAAAAAAGTCAGAATTGCAATATATAAACACTAAGAGGTCTATTTTGACGATCCATGCGCAAATTGCAAAGCGCAGGGCGCAAACGCATTAGGGGCGTGTAAGAATCCACTTTTGCTAATGTAAGGACGGGAAAATCCGCTTTGCACCAAGCGCATGGTCTAAAAGGGTTGAGCTTATTTTCTTAATGACATATAGGTGTGTTTTGAGAATAAACCAATCAGAGTCTCATCTCCCATTCCCTTTAAGAGTCAGTTGCGTCGCGCTATATCGCATTAGCAATTTACATGATGGACTTTGTAAGTGGAAAAACTGAGCATTTCTCTAGCAAAAAAAACTGTTTACCAGAGCATCTACAGCGCAAGAAAGAGAGATGAGGCCTTCTTATTATTTACTTTCACTTTCGCTCTCGTGGATAGGTAAACCTTGTATGCACAGACATCAATTAGCCTATAAATAATTCATTTAGTTTGTTAAGCTCAAAGATTTGTTTCAAAACTATTTCTAAATTCAGTTTAAATTTCCAGCAAACGAATAAATGAACAATAATAATGAAGTGTGCTCAAAAACCTGAGTTATATCCTAAAACACATGCTGTGCACCATATAAAACCTGACAGGTGGGCAAATCTAAGCTTTTGTTTTTAATAAAACAAATATAAATACGCATACAGGGCTCGAAATTAACTTTCTTACTTGGTAGCACTGGTGCTCCCAACCTGAAACATTTAGGAGCACCAGAAAAAATTTAGGAGCACCCACCAAAAATTAATGATATTGACAAGTTGTATATTAAGGGATTTATTGTATTTGAAAACAGCATCATTTGGGACTAACAAAACCCAGAAACAATTATCTAACTAATGCTGTGATGATTTAATATTTGTGCAATATTTCCAAAATTAATTTTAAATAATTATAAAATATTAATGATGACGATGATGACAATAATACTAACAATGAATTATATTTCTCATCATCATGCTGCCTTGAATGTGCTTTAATGTAAGTTATCTGCTATATAAAGTCCTGCTGTTACTCTATGGAAAATAAATTGATAGTTTGCATCAAACACAAATGAAGCATTGTAGTAAGAAATATTTATTTTGTACTGCTGTTTTTATATGCATGTCAATTTAATAAATATAGCCTATTTCTGCTACAAAACAAACAAAATATTATAATAAATCATTCAATTCGATGCTGAAAGGTGCAAAGCAGTCATCAGTAATTAAAAAGAAAAATAATATACATCTCAAGAAAGAACGGACAAAAGAAAGGAGAAAAAGTCTCACTTTTAAAAGTTTTGGTTTCGGTTATTGTTGTTGTAATGCTCAGCTTCGTTACGCGCTGAATTTCATTTTTCTGTGTTTGTGGAAAAGCATGCGAGTCAGCCGGCCCAATATGAGGGGGGCAGAGCAGGATTCTCCCAATAACCACCGTCGCAATATTGTTCCTTGTTATAACCCGCATCAGTAAACTCAGTAAAGGCAAGCTTCTTTGGCGATGGTGTTTTAGCGGACATTTGCGCTGTTGCAGCCTGATCTCACGAGGAAATGTATGAAAAAGTTACGAATTGCCGTGAGATTGTGTTGGCTGAACACGCAGTGCATGCAACGCATCAAGATTCAGTGTACTTTTCACTCTTCAGCCGTTTGCATTCCCCGCGGTCACAAAAGCTCACACAAGTGGTGCTCGCTGCAGAGCCATCCAAAAGCTCCCTCCCTGTCATCTGACAGCGGAAAGTCTTGAGTGATTGACAGCTAATATGAACCAATATAGCGGCAGGGAAGAGCTATTCAGCACGTTTTTAGAAAAAAAAAAAAACCAGGTCGCACTCCAACCTAAATATTCAGTCGCACGAATGCTCCCAATATATATTATGAGGTCGCATAGCTTAAATTTCGGGCGCATATGCGACCAAAATGGTCGCTATTTCGAGCCCTGGCATATAATAAATAATACTGCTAATAATAATAACATTACACAAAAGCAAATTGTTATGAATAAATTGAAAAAGCCCCTTGAGAAGAAGGCATGAAGGTAGTGTTTTTTATATTTATGTAGGCTTGAAAATAATATGTTTTGTAATATTTTAATCCTTTATATTTATATCCTATATATATCCTTATTATATCCGATATATATCCTTAATATTTGAATTATTTTTCATATATAAAGATATCTGTGTATTGCTCTACATCTTGTGTGTATTAAGCAGTGTGTAAGCGAGGCGCACAACTTACGCACTCTGCGCTGGACTTTAGACCGGCTTTGTTCTGGTCTATTGAAAAATCTATTATAGTTTCTCAAAATAGCAATGCGACTGCAATGCTTCAACACGCCTCCTTTTTTAGACCAGAACACCTATGGGCGCAAATGCATTTGCTATTTAATCAGCGTAGCGGAAAACGTCAAAAAGACTCTTGCGCCAAGCTGAAACTAGCAAACAACAATTGCGTCACGCCTTGCGCCACATTGCGCAGAGTGTATGATAAGGCACTAAATGTTTCCTCAAATTTTAGACTTCATGCATGCAGTTCAGAACTTTAAATTGTTACTTTCTAAGTTACAATTCAGATATTCTCCATCCTAATTTTAAATCTATATCTCAAAGCGAAAGCGTATACTAAATTGTTACATTTTAATTTACCTTGCAAATCTGACTTTTACAACTTATTGCCTATGAATTGCCAAGTGGAGTGAAGTGCCAAGTCAGAATTGCAATACTAGAATTGGTTGCCACTCTTTTTACCATCTTCCAATTGGGATTTTTAGGAGTTTACAGCTCATACTCATGACATTTTGTCATCTTTTTCTTCAAAATTCCACATCTCACAATTTTAATTTCTTTTTTTTTCAGGAATGCAAATTTAAAATATCACGTGTCATTTTATTTTGCAGTTATTTCTGTACTAAAAACAAGCATCTCTATTAATCTCACCTTGCCCTTGAAGAGTTTCTGAATCTCTGTGGTGTGCGACTCTGAGTCTGTGGCGATGTATACAGACTGAGCACCAGTGTTCTTCACCCAGAGTTTCACAGCTCGGCGGATCTCCGTCAGATCAGGTAAACACATGTTCATGGTCAGTGGCAGAGCAGTCTGACGGTCATATCCTACACACTGTGGAGACGCCATAAAGTGTGGACCAGTATCACCCGTTTTCAACAGCTTGCAGGCGTTTTGCTGTGTGGAAAGAGTAAAAGAGAACAGATAAATGAACAGTCAAGAAGATATCATTTAAGGCAGTGGTTCACAAACTGTGGTAGATGTACCACTAGTTGTACGCAGGCTTTCTTCTAGTGCTACATGGAAGAACAGCTGAATAATTAAAGCTAAAAAAGAACACCCTTTTAACCCTTTAATGCGTACAATAACACCGATGTGGTGAGTAAATTTATTTGAATATGGTAAACCTTTTTAAATATGCTAAACCTATTTTATTTTCAATTTTCTAATGTTTGTTATGTATTTTACCATTTGAAGCCAATTTGTTCCCCATATTTGTAATGGTTGTTGGGGATGTATCCCTTATTTTTATTTCCCAATGTTGACAGATATAGTTTAATTTGCCTTTCTGATACAAAAAGCCTACTCTAATGTGCAGTACGCAGATCAAATTTTTTATTTAAATTTGTAAATCAAATCACAGTACAGTACAGTATATCTAAAATACAAAGTAATGTTTAGATTTCAAAGAAACAAATAAGTCAAATATTTCCCAGAGATGGGTTGCGGCTGGAAGGGCATCCGTTGCGTAAAAACCTGCTGGATAAGTTGGCGGTTCATTCCGCTGTGGCGACCCCGGATTAATAAAGGGACCAAGCCAACAAGAAAATGAATGAATGAATGAAATAAGTCATATATACAGTTAAAGTCAGAGTTATTAGCCCCCCTTTGAATTTTATTTTTAACAGAGCAAGGAAGTTTTCACAATGTGTCTGATAATATTTTGTCTTCTGGAGAAAGTTTGATTTGTTTTATTTCGGCTTGAAAAAAAGCAGTTTAAGCTGTATAGAAGTGTGTTGAAAAATATCTAGTAAAATACTATGTACTGTCATCATGGCAAAGATGCAATAAATCAGTTATTAAAACTACTATGTTTAGAAATCTCATGAAAAAATCTTATCTCCTTTAAACAGAGATTAGGAAAAAAAAACAGGGGACTAATAATTCAGGGGGGCTAATTATTCGGACTTCAATTGTACATGCATCATATATTTCAAAATTTATCAAAAAGAGTTTATATATGAATATGACGACATATAGCTTTTATTTATGAGGTCCAACGAATATTTCTAGGTTTTGATGAATAGGCTACTTTATGATAATACTTTATATTTAAGTACAGCAGTTTTCTATTTACTTTTTAAGAACAGTGTCATTTTTAATTTAATTTTAAAACCACATTTTAATTTAAACGTTGACATTTTAGTTATTTTTTACCTGTAAGCACAGTACAGTGTTAATGTTCAAACTATTTCTAATGTTTAAAGTGGTTGACATAGCTGTGGCTGCATAATTAGGCCTACTACGCTACTGTATTTGAATACTGGTCATTATGGTGGTACTTGGAGAGACACTTTTTCTCTGAGGTGGTACTTAGTGAAAAAAGTTTGAGAACCTCTGATTTAAGATCATTATTATGTAAAATTGATTGTAAAAAAATAATAAGTTAATAAATGATATTTACATTTGGGTTGAAAATGTTTTTCAGGACCATAAAAGAGTACAGCCATACATTTTTGAAACACAAGAAAAAACATACAAGAATCAGTTTATTAAATATTAAACAAATATTTTACCAAAAAATAAAAAAAACAATATTTAAGATTGCAGTGCAACTCCAAAATAAGTCATTGTTATTTTACATCTTTATACTTTCCTCTGAACCACTCGGTTTTAACCATTTGTTAGCAAGAGGTCACTGGTTCGAACCTTGGCGCAGTTGGCTGTGTGGAGTTTGCATGTTCTCCCTGCCTTCACGTGGGTTTCCTCCGGGTGCTCCGGTTTCCCCCACAGTCCAAAGACATGTGGTACAGGTGAATTGGGTAGGCTAAATTGACCGTAGAGTGTACCGTAGAGTTCAGGCTAAATTGACTGTAGAGTGTATGTGTGTGAATGTGTGTGTGAATGTTTTACAGAGATGCGTAAAAACTTGCTGGATAAGTTAGCGGTTTATTCCACTGTGGCAACCCCGGATTAACAAAGGGACTAAGCCGACAAGAAAATGAATGAATGAATGACAATTTCTTCTGTTATGTTTTCATAAAAACAAAATTGTTTAAATAAACATTTCACACTTTTATGACATTTTACTTTCATACTTGTTTTTTGTTTTAATAAAGTTATACATTTTAATAAACATGTATACATAAGTTTGCTATCAGCATAATTAATTAAATAGTTTTTGATTGAAGCCTCTTATATCCACCAAGACAAGACAGACTTATTTGATAAAAAACAAAGCCAAACAATAATAATAAATAGTATTATAATTATATAAAATACTGCACTGCATAATCTATTAATACATTCCTAAAATTGGTTTTATTACTGTTATGGTAAATTTTTATTACTAGTTGTTGTGAAATGGATCGCTGCATTCAAAATAAAAGTCCATATTCACAATATATACATGTGCCTATTGTACATAATTCATTTATAAGGATTAATTGACAACAGGTTGTTGAATGATTAGAACAAAATAATACCAAGCGGAGTACCTTGGGTATACGTTATTTTCTAAAAATTCAATGGCTTTTTGTCAATTGTTCTACTTGTACTACACTTAATTGCTACACCTAGAAAGAGATTAATTATGACACCCTATAACACCCAAAATGTATGGAGATAAATAAGTTGTTTTCATTTCCATTTACAGTTAAATAACTAAGCAGAAACGTTGAAGGCTGATAAAAAAGCTCCTTTTAAAAGAAAATCTCAAATGCCACCCGCATTTCAACTCTTCAATTGTAGATTCAGACATGCAGAACTCACCCAATCAGAGCCGATCCTCAGATGGATGCCCACGTAGGGTCTGTTCAGCAGGTTTCTGATGTGACCTTCTCCTTCCTGTACAATTCTGTCAGACCAAACCACAAACTGCTGCAGACCAATGTGCTCTTCCAACACAGGAAACTGCGCCGGGGCTCCTGGAAGAGCAAGAACCGGATGCTCCTTTGGCGGAAACCTGTCGAGTTCAAAAATGAGTGAGTTTAAGGTTGAGGCATGATGAACCCAATCATCTATATTTACTGTGCCCTTCAATGACACTGACACCCTTGGTAAATATGAGAGAAAAACTCTGCTTTCATTGAAAAATTCCAAATGCAACCACTTTATCAAAAACCATACATCTTTGTTAAACATGCCGATTCTTATGCTTATTAAAAGGTCAAATTTAAAGGTGCTGTATGTAAATTTTTTACTCTTCTAAAGCATAAAAATAGCATAAATTTATTTATTATTTTTAATAATAAAAAATCATTATTTTTTAAAACCTTTAATAGATAGAATATTGCAGAAAATTGACAGGAATTAGTTGGGAGCAAAGAGAGGGGAAGGGTCGGCAAAGGACCTCGAACCGGGAATCAAACTTGGGTTGCCGTGAGCACCATGGTGCTATATGTAGGCACACTTAACCACTAGGCTATTGGCGCAGATGTGTTTGCAGATATTTAAGAAATATGCTAAGTAAAACAATGCTAAAGCTGGATATTCTGCTTGGAAAATGTCAGTTATGTGCCTGAACGCTACAGGTGAATTGGGTAGGCTAAATTGACCGTAGAGTGTATGTGTGTGAATGTGTGTGTGGATGTTTCCCAGGGATGGGTTGCGGCTGAAAGGGCATTCCGCTGTGGCAACCCCGGATTAACAAAGGGACTAAGCCGACAAGAAAATGAATGAATGAATGACCATTTCTTCTGTTATGTTTTCATAAAAACAATTGTTTACATAAACATTTCACACTTTTATGACAATTAACTTTCATACTTGTTATTTGTTTTAATAAAGTTATACATTTTAATTAAAATGTATATTAGGCTATTGGCTCAGACGTGTTTGCAGATATTTAGGAACCTGCTAAGTAAAACAATGCTAAAGCTGGATATTCTGCTTGGAAAATGTCAGTTATGTGCCGGAACGCTGTCTTTGTTTTGGTTCTTTTAACCCACCCACTGCCACTTGAGCCAATCATATTACAGCACCCCGCGTTGCCTGGTTTGGAAAACCACATATTTTATTAATTAAGTCAGAAAGGCGCTCAAAGAATGCATCCGTGACCCAAATGCGACCTCTGGTGGACAGCAGCACACTCTGAAATGAGACCACATGAGGTGGTTATTAATTAGCAAATAATATAAATATTACGAACGTAAACATTAGGTGAGCAGGTCACATTGTGACCCCATGTCCTAACAACACGCTACATGACAAGATTTGCAGTTATATAAGCAGTTTGGCTGTGCACCAGATGCAGTACAGCAGAAATTTTAATACAGCCATTCAGAAGAACAGAATATGCACTCACTTATGAAATGGTAAGGTTTATAATCTAATAGATTATCTGTAGATGCTAAATCACAGAGATGTGTTGGTTTGCATTATTTTACAGTCCTAAAGTTCAATTTCAAACAGTTTATTTTATTTTCAAGATCTGAGGGGAACTATCTGCGGTTGCTTTCAGTAGTACGCTTGATTTGACTTGATTTTGATTTGATTTGACTTTTCCAAACACTTTCCAGTTGCATTAACCAGTGGTGTAAAGTACTTGAGTAAATGGACTTTGTTACTTAAGTATTTTTTGGGCTACTTTGTACTTGTACAAAGTATCAAAAATTGAAGCAACTTTTACTCTCTACTAGACTACATTTTTGATTGAATATATGTACTCTTTACTTCACTACATTTGAACGGACGCTTACGGTTACTCATTACATTGTGATTGTGTGCGACAAGTCGGCATCTTTATCTACCACAGCTAATTTGTTAGGCGGACGAGGCAATATCGCCAATTGAAGTGTGCTAAAGGTACTGTATACTATTTATGAGCTAAATCACGTGAATTAGCAGCTTGCCTAATACCAGGTGTTTAATTAGCGACATGGCTGCAGCCAATGGTGAAGACGAAGTTGGCACATCAAGCAGTGCCAGGCTGCCAGCACTGATGACCATCCATGGCCTTATCTGAAATAAATGTTTTCATTTGCTGAAATACAGAATGTTTCTTACAGGATGCAGCGTCAACTTTGTTTGCCACGAACCACGAAAATAAGCGCTTTTAAGAATTTATCATCAAATTTGAGAAAACACATAGAGGTAAGAGTCTATTTAATGTTAATTTAGTTCAATTTTGTCTGACTTTACAATAGTATTGTAAGCATATTATTACCAAAAGTTAATAGTTACTGATATGACATTTTGCATCAGGTGCATTTAGCTGTGAGTTTGTGATGTATTTTATATTGAATTTATTTATAGTTTGCTAAGTTGAAAAATCACACTGTTTAATTTTAATACAGAGAAAACATCCTAATCAATTGAAAAACTACTCAAAATAAAAACTTTGCCCCCCTCTGAGACTGAGAGAGGATCACATCAAAGTCAGCTCTGAATCTTATTTTACTGTTTTACTACTTTTTTTGGACATTTGAGTTTGACTGAAACTTTTGTTCTATTTTTTTTTTATCTATTTTGTTCTGCCATTTTAAACATTGAGGTGTTCAATTAAATTTCTTTATTAGGAAATAAAACATTTCTTGGTGTTCTTTGCCTACATTTAGTGTGAGTAAAAACTTAAGTTCTTTTAAAATCGGAAACTTTAATACTTTTACTCAAGTCTTATTGGAATTGGTGACTTGAAACTTGTAATGGAGTAATTTTTACAGTAAGTTATCTGTACTTTTACTCAAGTATGGTTTTCAGGTACTCTTTACACCTCTGGCATTAACAACAATTTGCAGGACTTTACCAGTTAGACAAATTAAATTTTCATAAACACATACTTCATCACACTACATCAGATGTTATTTGTTTTCGGTCACACTTTACAATGCGGTTCATTAGTTAATGTTAATTAATGCATTTACTAACATGAACAAACAATGAACAATACATTTACTACCATATTTATTCATGTTAGTAAACGTTAGTTAATGAAAATACAGTTGTTCATTGTTCGTTCATTTTAACTCATGGTGCATTAACTAATGTTAACAAGCATGGACTTGGATGTTAATAATGCATTAGTAAATGTTTAATTATGATTAATAAATGCTGTACAAGTGTTGTTCATTAGTTCATGTTAGTAAATGCATTAACTAATGAACCTTATTGTAAAGTGTAACCTTGTTTTCTTTATGTTTACGTTTTATCTTACATTTATATTTATTTTAATTTCAAAGGGCTCAGATTTAATGATGAATTATTTTTACCTATTTAGGAATATGAAATTCCTTTTGATAGTATTATTTTTTAAGCACTTTCCAAACCTTAAAATCACTAATTACATTAAAATTCAAGCATTTTCAAGGATTTCCAGCGCCCGTATGAAGCCTGAATATGTGTGCACAATTATTGGCAGGTGCATCTTTATGAACTTATAAGAGGATTTTTTTTAATAAGACCTTCCCTATTTTTGTTTTTTGTACACCGTGACCTCCTGTTTCACTGGATTATGAGGCAAAAAAAGGACAATTTTTCCTGTTGTTCATAACAATCAGTAAGATCAAATATATACAATAGCTGTAATTTACGGCAAATGTCAACAAAAAAAATGAAGTGGCTTTAAGATAATAGCACAAACAAAAAAAGTCTATTCCCACCATCAGGACAAAAATTAAGAAACTCCAATCAGCTGGAAGTGTTATGAATCAGCCCGGAACAGGAAGTGAGTCAGTGTTTTTATTACTGTCAGCAGGATGGTTTAAGTGGTTTAAAAAATCTTTAAATATCACAGCTGTACAATCGTAGAAAGTATTTTAGGTCCTGTGGTCAAAAAATCTGCAAAACTACAATCTGGTGTCGCCAACATCACCATAAAATCAAAGTTAAGATTTCAAGTTGATATTATGACTGAATTAAATCAGTAGTTTAAAGTTCACTCATAAATGAAAATCTACTCACTATTTACTTGTCAGTTGGTGTCATGTTCCATGTTAGTTTTTTTTTGCGTATTTATTTTCCTCACCCTTCACTCCTCTTCTTACTCCACTCTTAGGTTTCTTATTGGTTCAGTTAAGTGTCCATCATCATTACGACAGTGCCAATTCCACCAATCCCCGGACAAGCCGTGAGGATTTAAAGCACAGACGGATCAGTGTGTGGTGTGCGCTCTGCCTCGGCATACTATTGTGCTCCTTGCAATTTGTGTTTTTGACATGCTTAGGCTATTGGTGATTTATTATCTCTTGTTAAACTTTGTTGGCTTTAAGTAAATGCTTTGATGATTGTTGTGTGATTCTAAGCTGAGCCTTATGACGTTGTTGCTTTAGTTTAGATTGATTTTTGTTAGATTAGTTTGAGTGTTTTGCCCACGTTTAGATCTGGTGTCCTGTGCACTGAAGATATCGGTTTCATTTTCATTATTTATTTTTTTTTTTTGTCACCTAGTTTAGACTTTAGACTTAAGAATTGTTTTGTTTTGTTCATTTCTTTTATTTGGCTTACACTCACTGTTTTTGACTAAGGCCAAAGAAGAAGAAGAAGATTGTTACATCTTTTGTTTAAACCCTTTTAAACATCACAAACACGTGAAACAGGTGGTTTCAAAGCTTTTTTGAGTATCTTTCTTCTGATAAACACTATAAAGAAGAAATTTTGTAGAAAGCTTAACACCTGTAACCATTGACTTCCATTGTAGAAAAAAATATTATGGAAGTATTTGTTACTGGTTTCCAGCTTCAAAATATCCTAAAAGTAAACCTGCTAAGAAAGTCAAACATGTTTAGGAAAAGTAAAGGGTGCGTAAATGCTGACAGAACTATCTCTTTAAACAATGAAGAGATTTTTCACAGTGTTCTTTGCTCATATTTAGTGAAGGGCACTGTATGTGTGTGAACCTTACCTTTTAATCCAGTGTGGCTGGTAGTAGGAGCTGAATGAAAGACCTCCAAAAAGAACGGATCGGTCAAAGTCCACTCCAATATGGTCCCAGAACGGACCAAAAGGATTTCCATCCTGCAGCAGACATCATGCATTACAAGCGCACTGTCATGAGTCTATACAACATGCAAATCTGCTGAAAGTCCAATAGATGGCAGTGTTGCCTTGCTCATTTTGCATAGTTTAAGGGATAGTTCACCCAAAACCGAAAACTCTTGTCATCATTTACTCTCTCTCTTCACTTGTTCCAAAGCCGTCTGACTTAATTCCTACAGTTGAATACAAAATAAGTTCTTCTGAAGAATGTTGGAAACTTAATTCCTACAGTTGAATACAAAATAAGTTCTTCTGAAGAATGTTGGAAACCTTTAACCATTGACTTCGACAGTAATTGTTTTTCGTACTGACCTGTTGATGTCAATGGTTACAGGTGTCCAACGTTCTTCAAAATATCTTCTTTTGTGTTCAAAGGAAGAAAATCAAACAGGTTTGGAACAAGTGAAGAGTGAGTAAATTGTGATGAGTTTTTTCTTGGGTGAACTATCCCTATATAGTGCACTTGTGCTGGGCAATATGACAAAATTTAATATCACAACATAAGTTGTCTCATATCCTGTCTCATATCCTGATAACTAATACATATACACATCATACAGTACCGCTCCTGCAAATTCAATTATTTAATAGTTTATATATATTGACCACATGTAAAAGACTATTTCTTTTTTATATTTTAAAGTAAAGAAACAAACAGAAATGTATTCCTCTTTACTTCAAATGTGATTATAGTTCTCATTTATCTTTACTTGTAGAAACACAAAGCAAACCTTATTAAAACACTTTTCAAAAACTAATGATTACAGGTCCAACATAATAAATAATTAGAAAATATATTGCTAAATTAAATGCAAAATGTAAACATTGTCAAGACTGCAACTTTCTCATGATGAATTATTAGCCTACCGTTTATTTTTTCCCCAATTAATGTTTAACAGAGAGAAGATTTTTTTTCAACAAATTTCTAAACATAATAGTTTTAATAACTCATTAGTAATAACTTTATTTATTTTATCGTTTCTATGATGACGGTAAATAATATTTTACAAGATATTTTTCAAGTCACTTCTATACAGCTTAAAGTGACATTTAAAGGCTTAACTAGGTTAATTAAATTAACTAGGCAGAATGGGGGATTGGGCAAGTCATTGTATAATGATGGTTTGTTCTGTAGACTATTGAGAAAAAAATATATAGCTTAAAGGGGCTAATAATTTTGACCTAAAAATGGTGTTTAAAAATGAAAAACTGGTTTTATTCTAGCTGAAATAAGACCATAAGACTTTCTCCAGAAGAAAAAACTTCAGATATACTTTGAAAACTTCCTTGCTCTGTAAAACATCACTTGGGAAGAATATAAAAAAGAAAAAAAATTCAAAGGGGGCTAATAATTCAACTGTATATACAGTGTCCCGCATAAATGAGTACACAACTTTTGAAAATGAATATTCTTATACATTTTCCAGTTAATAGAGTCAATATAATTTGGTGCATATAATCAAAACATTTGTATTAAACAGCTTTATCCATTCAAATAAGACTTTGGTCACATCTTTAGTAATAGAAGGGTGATACATTTAAAATCAAACAAGTTACCGCAAAAAAATAAAATATAAAATACAAACTCCAAAATTTCAACTCAATGTTTCTCTTGATTTTTTTTTTCTAGTTTATTTAAAGTTAAAATTCTATATTTTACCCAAACATATTAATTGGGGTGTACTAAATTTTTAACCGTGATCGTAAGTTTTCTGTTATATTAGTTCCAGTTTTGGCTTTGGTGATGACTAATCTAACATATATACACTAATAGATTATTGTAATAATCTTTATAAAATATTTATTAAAAAGAGAGATCAGAGAGGGAGTACTCGTTAAAGCTTTGCTCTAAAGTGCAGCATTCAGAAAGAAAAGATTGAGAAAAAATATAATGTTAACTGCAAACATGGCACCTTCATAGGACAACTCTTTTTGTCCTGGCTCCTGTGCGCTGCGGACTCAAAGCAGTAAGCGATTCTCTGACCATGAGGCCAGTGTTTAGGAGCCAAGTGCTCCATGAAGTCCTCCAGACTCACCACACGGTGGTACTGCTTCAGCGGCTCAAGCTGGAAATACTCACTGTATGGAACATGCACCTGTTACAGAGAGATGCAGAAGAGAAACGTGCTTCATCAATAATCCGCTTATTCACATACTCATCTACTAGAGTGAGAGAGCAGGTCATTATCTGGTTAATTCGACACTATGTTTTAAAACAAGATAATAGCTAACTGGTGTGGTTTTAAACTAGGATTGGGCGATATTGCAAAAATGCAATCTCAAAATTATTTTCCATGTTGAACAATAACGATATATATTCTGATATGAGTTGTTAATACTTCCAGATCTTAAAGAGTACCCCAACATTGACTGAAGCCACGAAAAATTGGAGGGTCCATTAAATGGCATAACATATTTTTCGTTAATAAGTTTCCGGTGGACAAAAATTCGGTACATCTCTAATATCAACACACTTTTAGATTCCTATTGTTGCACATTTCTATATAGTATAGAGTAAATGGTTCAGAGCTTAAAATTGTTATTGACATCAATTTTATCACGATTATATGTAATATAGTTTATCAGCCCAGGCCTATTTTAAACTCCAGAGATCTTTTAAATAAATCTGAAACAAATGCACAAATAAAAATGACAAAAAACAAACTAGATGAAAATGACAAAAAACAAACTAGAAATCTTGCCTTGGTAAATGTCCTGAAAGATGTACTAAAGCAACGTAAATAAAAATAAAGCTAAACAGCTGGAAATTAAATTAAATGGAAATAAAAAAAACTATTAAATGTTACACTGGAAACCTAAAATAATGAATGACTACAAATGTCTTCCTAGTAATGGGTTGCGGCTGGAAGGACATCTGCTGCGTAAAACATGCTGGATAAATTGCCAGTTAGTTCCGCTGTGGTGACCCCAGGTTAATAATGGGACTAAGCCAAAAAGAAAATGAGTGAATGAACTACAACTGACAGAAATAAAATCAAAAATTAAAAAACCTCATTCAAAGCATTATTAAATTATATTCAAATGTATAATAAAACAACACTGGTCTTGTCCAACTAATGGCCAGTTTGGACAAAATATTATTTATTTATAAGTTGTTTTTATTTCAAAACAAATAGTAAAATTGAGGTATTCTTTAAATACTTCAAAAAGTTAAATGGAAAGTAAAAATTATATATATATATATATATATATATATATATATATATATATATATATGAATACAAAATATTATAAACATTTTAACAGTACATGCATAATTCATAGAGTGCTCATCATATATAAGTACACCCCTCACAAATCTATCTTATAAATTCGTATTTTTAATAGGAAGCTATACACTACAGGGTGATTCAAAAAGAACACAACTTTAAAAATCTGTATTAAATCAAAGAAACATGATGGAACCTTGAGAAATAAATTAATGCGAAGAGTCCTTTTTTTCAGTAGAGAACAAGTATATAGATGTTCAATATGACTCTCTCCAGAGACTCAAGTGACCCGAAAGTTGTGATATTCTTTTTGAATCTGGAGCTAATCTACCAAAATAACTTACAATAACGGTCCAAAAACAAGTACACCCAAATTAATATGTTATAGAAAAATAATAAATACAAATTTAATAGAGGAAATTTAGTTGAAATTTTGTGGGTTGTATTTTTTTTTGTGATATTTAGCTTAAATTTAATTATATTATCTTTCAATTTCTGAATATGTTTGGTGACTAAAATATAATTTCAACAAATATGTGAGTTTAATAAATCTGTTTTGTTTAAATGCACCAAAATACATTACGTATATTTACTGAGAAATTACATGCAAATGGCAAACTTGCCATGAAAAGAAACATGTTTTCACCAAAATAGCGAAATCGTTTCTACATTTTTTTGCACAGGCAAGTGTTTTACAGTACTTTAAAATGTCTCTGTCAATGTTTTCAAACTATTATATTTGATTTACCAAAGTCATACAAATGGTAATTTCACATCCGTCACATCCATAACAAAGCTTTTCCCTCAAAAACTTAAAAAATGTCAAAATTAAATAAAATCAATCATTTTTGTTGTATAAAAAGACAACTCTTATCCTTTTGATGAGCATTATTTATTTCGGGTTTTGCAGTTTAATTCACAGAATTTCTACAAAATATGTTGTAGACTGCAAACTTGGGCTTTTTTGTCACATCCATAACGCATGTATATTTCCCTGATTTACAATATAACAAATGTTTATAGATCAGTATTTTTCTGCTCCTACATCTCTGTGGCTAGTTGTTTAGAAAAATATAAACAGATGATTCAATATAATGTTAATGTATACTTCCTCTGTCAATTTATGTTTTGAGATTTTACAGCAAATGTCAACTTACTATTATCTTATTAATTATTTGTTTAAAAGTCATCAAACTAAGTTATCATTTTATTTTAATAAACTTAAATTAAAGGTGTGATAAAAGTGTAACCACAGTTCTATAATAGAGAAGCTCATTCTATAAGTCTGTGTGTGTGATGCATGACATATGAAATGTGGTCAGATGAGTGACGTGTTGTTGTGTTTACATTAGCAAAAGGCGGCGAGTGATGGCGGTAAACAATCCACGGCGGAACCGCGAGAGTTCGGTTCAGCATTTTAGCAAAAGCCAGTGATCCAAGAAAGTGATCCACCTGGTTTCCAAAGCGACCTACAAAAGAGCATATCGATGAAACGATAAGTTTATTACGGAAGCGCAACACAGAGACAGGCGCTTTATGGCTGTACAGTAAAATGTCTAGATTCATCTGATTCTCGTTAAAGTTGAGCTGTAAATGTGTCAGATGTATCCTGAGTTCATTACCCATGCACGGACAGTACAGAATGTATCCATTTTCATCCCACGTCACGTCTGTAGCGTCGATAAATACATTGAGGAAAATGAGTGATGTGTGCAAATAAGTTACAATGAAAAGTTTCAGGTGCTTTGGTCTCGCCGCCATCGCTGTTCACTCTCTATCCCACAATGCACTGCGAACGTGAAGTTAACCCTTCATTTCCCAGTAAGGTAAGGTAAAAAGGCTTTAATCTTCTCCTTTTCGATTTCGTTTTTGCCCCTTTCTTTATATTTGAGTCAAATGTTTTTTACAGAGGGATTTTGAGAATATTGTTATCAATCCATAGTTTAGAAACTACTGCAGCTTGGGAAAAACTATAGTTTGCATTTATGTTGAACTAAATGTCTAATTAAAGTCAGGCAAATTATAATAATGCATTCCTCGTATGTAAACGAAAACCTTTATAACATATAGAACAGCAGCTGATATGGAGGACGAAACATAAAATAAATATAAATAAATAAATATGCAAATAGGCCTAAATAAATAAATACATAGACTGCACAAATAAAACAAAAAAACATAAATATGCAAATAAATGAGTAAATAAATACATAAACTGCACAAATAAAACAATAAATACATAAATATGCAAATATATAAATAAATGAGTAAATAAATACATAAACTCCTGCATAAATAAAACAATAAATATGCAAATATATAAATAAATGAGTAAATAAAGCTGTAAAGTCCTGCATAAATAAAATAACTAATAAATATAAATGCTTATAAATAAATGAAAGTATATAAAAATCCACAAACTCGTGCATAAATATTTGTTTATATATATATATATATATATATATATATATATATATATATGTGTGTGTATGCATGTATGTATATGTATATATATATATATATATATATATATATATATATATATATATATATATATATATATATAAACAAATATTTATGCACGAGTTTGTGGATTTTTTATAAATTTTATTATTTATTTGCATATTTATTTATTTATTGTTTTATTTATGCGGGAATTTAAATTTTTTTTTACTCATTTATTTATATATTTGGGTATTTATTTATTGTTTTTGCAGGTTCCGTCCTCCATGACAATATGCAAGTGTTTTATGGAGGACAAAAACAATAAATAAATAAGTTAATTAATTAATTAATTAATAAATAAGCAATTTAATAAATAAATGAGTAAATAAATGTGTAAATTTCTGCATAAATAGAACAAATAATTTTGCTATTTATTTATTGTTTTATATATGCAGGAATCTACTCATTTATTTATTTATTTACATATTTATTTATTTATTCATAGTGTTTGCAGGTTTCGTCCTCCATAGGCTGTATGGAAGTGCTTCTAAAGTGGACATGTATGGCTCAGTGAAGAGAAACAAAAATAAAAAAATATATATTTTTAAAATTGTGTATAGTAAAAGAAATTCACAGACACAAATTGATAATTTGTCAATGAACCACTTAAAGTATTTGAGATAAACAAAAACAGCTTATGAAAAGTAAAAGTATTCAAACAAATATGTGTGTCTTCTTTTTTCATAGTCCTATTTAGCTATTTTCTGTGCAACATCAATAATAATGTTGCGATGTTTTATGAAAATAAAAATATTTTTTTGTTTTTAAACATGATTATTTAAAAATAGGTTTAATGTAAAAATATGTATTCAACAAAAGCATAGATAAACGATTAATCAGATTTCTAAAATGTAGCAATATTAAACAGCATATACAGTTAAAGTCAGAGTTTAGAATTTTCTTTCTCTTTTATATATTTCCTAAATGACGTGTAGCAGAGCAAGGAAACTTTTACAGATGATATTTTTTCTGCAGGAAAAATTCTTATTTGTTTTACTTTGGCTTTATTTGGCTTTTAAAAGCCATTTTAAGGTCCACATTATTAGCCCCCTTAGGCAATATTTATTTTCATAGTCTACAGAACAAACCATCATTATTATATTATATTATATTATATTATATTATATTATATTATATTATATTACATTATATTATATTATATTATATTATATTATATTATATTATATTATATTATATTATATTATATTATATTACATTATATTATATTATATTATATTATAATATATTATATTATATATTTGTTTATTTATTTATTTATTTAAAGACAATAAAAGTAATTATGAAACTGCACAAAGGTATGGTTTCAAAAATTAAAATAATTGCATTTAAGATTTTAAACACATTTTTATTTAATTGAAAATAACACCCAGTTACCCATTCAAAAAATAGCATGTGCTACTTGTTCAAGTTACATATTTTTTTGGAGACAGCTTAATTGTTTTAAGCTCAGTTCACTTAAATGTGTAAAAACAATTAAGTTAACTTGATCGATTAGTGTTGGAACAGCAGGAAAGAATTGTGTGAAACCCTCAATTTTCTATCTCATTTAGTTTATTCAGTGTTATTTTAAATTGATATTCTTTTCATAATAAGTTTTTTTTTTCTTTTTTCAATCCTTACTGGAGCATCTTCTACCTTTTTATGAATTAATTTATCTGATAACACAACTATAAGCAGCGCACATTTGCAATGCACACATTTAAAAAAGCTCAACTGATGAGTTCTATTGATATTCAGTGATGATAAAGTGATAAACGACAAAGTGTTTGCCAAATTTAAAGCTCATTTATCAAAACCCATAATCAATAGCAACATGTGTGTGCAACATGTTCACACTCCCGCTCTCCTCCAGGGGAATTCACACACAATCCACATGCCTAAAAAAGACACTGCAATGCTCTGATAAATTAAAATTTGTCTGTTTATGTAGGCATTATATCAAAATAAACATGTAAATCTGACACTCGGCCTAATACAGTTGAAGTCAGAATCATTAGCCCCCTTTGATTTTTTTTTATTTTTTATTATTATTATTTTTTTTTTTTCAAATATTTGCCAAATGATGTTTAACAGAGCAAGGAATTTTTACAGTATGTCTAATAATATTTTTTTTTTCTTCTGGAGAAAGTCTTATTTGTTTTATTTTGGCTAGAATAAAAGCAGTTTTTAACGGAAAGAAATTTTTTTCAACACATTTGTAAACATAATAGTTTTATTAACTCATTTCTAATAACTGATTTATTTTATCTTTGTCATGATCACAGTGAATAATATTCACTTCTATACAGCTTAACATGACATTTAAAGGCTTAACTGTTAATTAGGTTAACAAGGCAGGTTAGGGTAACTAGGCAAGTTGTTGTATAATGATGGTTTGTTCTGTAGACTATCGAAAAAAAATATAGCTTAAAGGGGCTAATAATGTTGACCTTAATATTTTTTTATTAAAAACTTTATTTCAGCTTTTATTTAATTTATTAATTAAATTATTAATTAAATAAATAATTTATTTTTATTTAATTAATTAAGCTTATATTCTAAATAAATACAAACAAATAAAACAAATAAGACTTTCTCCAGAAAAAAAAAATATATATCATCAGACATACTGTGAAAATTTCTTTTCTCTGATAAACATTCATTCATCAATTTTCTTTTTGACCTAGTCCCTTTATTAATCTAAAGTCGCCACCGTGTAATTAACCGCCAACTTATCCAGCATATGTTTTACGCAACGGATCCCCTTCTAGCTGCCAACTGTCACTGGGAAACACCCATACACATTCATCCACACTCATACACTACAGACAATTTTTAGCTTACCCAATTCACAAGTCTTTGGACTTGTGCGAGAAACCGGAGCCCACGGAGGAAACCCACATGAGCGCAGGGAGAACATGCAAACTTCACACAGAATCACCTACTGACCCAGCCGAGGCTTGAACCAGCGACCTTCTTGCTATGAGGCGACAGCACTATTTACTGCAACACCACGTCGCCCTCTGTTAAACATCATTTGGTAAATATTTTGGTAAAAATTTAAAGGGGGGCTTATAATTCTGACGTCAACTGTATGTGTATTAACATTTATATATTACTTTTAAGATGAAATATGCACAATATCTTGTGTTAAGATACTTTCTCTTTCTGTTTGAATAGGTAAAGAAATACCTAATTAATTTTTGAAAATTTGTAAAACCTGTCGCTTCTTGCCAGTTTTAAATTGTTGTTCTTGTTTATTTATAAACTATCCAATGGAATTAACCATGATACATGAACATAGTTAACTAGAAGGTTGAGATTTGTGTTTAGTCAACTTTTAAAGAGAATCAAAAGGCTTTACCCAAGACAAGAATATGTTGTTCAATAGTTTTAGAACAACTCTGATGAAAGATTCAAATGTTCACTTCAATAGTTTACTACTGTGTGCCATATGCTTCTTTAGTAAGAAGATAAGGAAGGCAATGGGCTCTGAAATATAGGTTTCTCATACTCAGGTAGAGAATCTTAGAATTAAAGGTACAGGAGCTTTCACTTAGGGAGTACCTTTTTACAAGATGCATATTTGTACCCAAATAGTTCACAGTGGTACATAAAAGGTGCAAATTAGTACCCAAATGTACCTAAAAAGTACCTTTGAGGTACCATTATGGACCCTTCAGGTACAAATATTTTCCTTTTGAAAAGGTACTGCCCCAGTGACAGCTCCTGTACCTTTATTTCTGAGAGTGTAGGGAGCAATGCACACTATAGGGATATATCAGTCCAGCCTGATCTCACGAGAAATCGTAAGTATTTTACGTTTTGCCAGTTTAGTGGCTAATTCGTACGAATTTGTGTGAGTTCAGTCGTAAAAAATAGTACGATTTTAAAAAGGAGGCGTGGCACCTGACCCCACCCCTAAACCCAACCATCATTGGGGGATAAGCAAATCGTACTAAATTGTACAAATTAGATCATACAAATTCATACGAATTAGCCACTAAATGAAAAAATTACGAATTGCCATGAGATTGTGTTGATCAGTCTGAGCACAGTTCAGGCATGGAGCTCCTCCAACAAGCTGGTCATCTAAATCAGGTGAATTAATAATAGAGTCATGTGAAATATGCTGATCGATGAGGGTGCGAGGACCAGGACTGAGAAACGCTCTTCTAGACTGAACAAACAATTTGAACAGTTTACATCAGGGGTGCTCAATCCTGTTCCTGGAGATCTACCTTCCTGCACATTTCAGTTGCTACCCATATCAAACACACCTGCCTGTAATTATCGCGTGGTGTTCAGGTCCTAA